ATATAATTTTTTGTATTTTATTTATATCATTCTTTATTATTATTATTATTATTATTATTATTATTATTATTATTATTATTATTATTATTATTTTGTATCATACATCAGATATCGAAAAAAAGTACACATTATTATAGTGTGTATCATAGATTATTTTACACAATCGTATCTATCATAATAATCGAGTAGAGAAAATTTGAATTAGGAAATGAATATAAAAAAAATGAACATTCCAATGGAAATTGTTACGAAGTATTATTCTTCTCGCAATTTTCACGTTAAACTTTTTTCTCGATTGATTTATGAAATTTGTGATTTCCTGGATTCTCCTCCACCGTTAACTTTTTTGATCGTCCTGTTAACAAAAGAGAAAGAAACAAAAAATGAGTCCCGAGATGTTACGAACGTTTCTTTTTTAATTCGAAGTAGTAATAGTAGTAGTAGTAGTAGTAGTAGTAATTATATATTTAAACATAAGTTAAAAACATCGAATGGAAAACCAAGTTAAAAAACGAAATGTTATACATTCCGGATCGGCCTTGAACGATCATCAAACCCGGAATTTATTCACGAGAAATGAACTTGAAACGATCATCGAAAATAAAACTCGATCGAGTTGAAGGTACGTATATATTTTTTCTTAATATTTTTGTTTTTTGTTTGTTTGTTATCCTTGATGCATTCCTTGTCCGTATTCGATCAAACGTAAAACAAGAGAAAGGTCCAATTAATTTATCCTCGTATTTCGAATAAACACATATTACCCCCCCTCCCTCCCTGCTTATAGTATTTATGATAATAGAAAAAAAAAATAAATGTATGCGTGTTTATATTTAAAAAATATTTTTCGTGATAACCTTATGGACGGGTATAATTTGTTCCTTTGGCTCGAGTATTTGATTTCCAAATATGATTTTAAACACAGGAACTACTGGAAGCGGATTTATCTTCGTTGATTTATTGTTATCGATCGACGACGTAACGTTTCCGATTTCTTTTCTATTATTAACTTCCTAAATTAATGAAGAACAAATTTTTATCGATTAATTATTTTTATCTGAAATTATTAAAAGTAAAATAATTTATTTATATTAAAAAATATTAATTAATTAATATTCATTTGACCTGCACAATTAGAGTAATATTTTTAACTATATAAATAATAATTAAAGAAAACATTAAAAAAAAAAATAACCTGATTATCTTTCGTCAAGATTTCTTCCTTATCGGCATTGATCTTTTCTAAATTGTCATTAACATTTCCGTATCCAGAATTTACAGCCATTTGTTCAGCTATTAGAAATGCATTTAAATGATCTTTTCGAGCAGCTATGACTTCAGCAGTATCCTCGACCGGAAGTGGAGCCTGTGGAAGATTAGTAGCGACAACACGAAAACCATCATTATCCGCAACGTATTCCGTACTTTGAATCATTCCATTATCATCTATGTAACTGTATACACCATGTATTGCACCGTCTACAGTTTTCACTTCTGACCTGGCCGAGTTAAGGGTACTATAACCAAAACTATATTGACCTAAACTATCCTGATAACCAAGAAGTATATTATTCGTTGGTTGGCCTGAACTTTTACAAAGAAATAGATAACACAATAAACACGACAACTGAAACAAAAATAATCAATCCATTTGAAAATTAGAATATTGAATAATATCATCATCATTTTATCGTAATAAGAAAAATCTCTTATAAACTTACAAATATTACTTTCATCTTGGATTGGATCGCGAAACATACACCGAGAGTTTCAACACCAAAGAGGATATTCGCTAAACTAAACTAACAGTTTGCGAAAGAATTTATATATGCAACAAACTCGGATTTAACCAACACCACCACGACGACAACAACAACAACAACAACAACACACTCTTCCCACATGTTGTTTACCATTTATTTTTCGATTGCTTTTTCGATCGTTTAGTATAGATTATTGCAAATGCTAAAAATGCGAAACGAAAGATGGAAGAATACGAAATACGAAGGAGTAAAGAAGAACAGATAAAACTGGTCGTGACTCTGTGATGCCAAGGACGATCCCCAATGCTACTATTCAACCAAGGTTTATTCGCTTTGAAATCCGGCTTCGAAGTTAAAACAACTGACATGAGCTTTTATTCTGATACCCGTATCCTGAATGTACTCGTTTTGCCCTAATACGTCGATACTCAAGGTAGAATTCAAATGATTATCGATATCACTATAATTGTATCATTCCGTTTGATTTACGTCAAATAAAATACAACGATTCATCGTAAAATTAAAGATGCAACGAATGAAAATTATTTGATAACTTTCGTTATATATATTTAGTTCCATCTAACTCGCCAAATTTTATTTTCTATTGTTCGTTGTTGTGCGAAAAATTGAACGAAGTCATTGGAAAATAATGGCAAGACTATTTTGAAAAAAAAAAAAAAAAAAAAAAATAACAGACGTATGATTATCTCTTAAAAAAAAAGAAAAATAAATAATAAATTAATTAATAAGAAGCATCTCAAATTAATCGACTACAACACCCAACATGAAGATCAATTTCTTATGGAAAAATAAAAATAAAGATCTATTTGTAAGTTGGTTATGATGTGTTGCGCCAGTCACTGCGTATCTATCTATCATTTACCGTACCTCTAGGCAAGGTAAGCTTCTTGTAAAACGAGCATGGCACATGGGCGTTATGTTCTGCGGATGAACGTTAGGGAAAAACTTATTGGTTGAGAAGTTTTTTAGCAAGGCCGGGGAAGACACACGATCCCGTTTTCATTTCTCCGGTGATTTGATGAGACGACGGAGACGACCATGAACGTCAAGGTTCTAATGAAAATATTCATCGTTCCAATAATCGTCTATTACATTCACAACGACATTTATTTATTTCTGATCCTAAATATAAGAGAACGGATTAAGAATAAATAATAATAATAATAATGACCATGTAGTAATGTTAAAAAGAAAAAAAAAAAAGAACAGAAAAAAAGCGATCAAATTCGTTCTTAGGCGTAGACGAGAGACGAAAGGAAATGTCAATGTCAGACGTATCGAGTTTTATTGGGCAGGGCATGCATTTCTTGATCGTTTACTCCATAACAGAGGCGTGTGCCCCTGTTTCTGGTTTAGCATGCCTAGCAGGGGACATTTTCCCCTAAGGGGTATATAAAACCGGGTTGCGAAGGTAGATGGACAACACAAAACGAAGGTACTTTGGCGAGTACTGTTCTCTTCAGCAGCGCTAAGGAGCTCAAGCATATCATCAACATTTTTCATCATGAAATTTCTCGTGAGTATGATTCGCCAGGTTATTTATTAAAAAATGAACGATCTACTAGCAATAAGCCTAAAATATGTTGTTAACCCTATTAAAATGTACAATCGAAATATTATAATATTATCTATTAAAAAATTAATAATCAAGGCCTAAAATATGTTGGTAAACCTACTAAGAATGGTATAATCGAAATGAATCATAATAATTAACATTTAATCATTCAAATTTAGATCGCTTTCTCCGCCATCTTGGCTGTTGCCGTTGGTAATCCTGGATTTTTATACGGTGTTCATCCAGCACCAATCGCCTATGCTAGATTAGTACCCGGAGCACCAATCGGAATAGATGGACGAGTTGTTGACACCCCAGAAGTTGCCGTAGCTAAAGCTGAACACGCGGCAGCTCACATCAACGAAAGGATCAATCTAGCTAACGAAGCAGTCAAATCGGCTGAAGTTATTGTCCCTGCAACTTACGGTGCTTCCATTGCTACTCCTGTTATTGCTGCTTCGGCAGTACCCATCATTGCCCCAGCAACTAAAATCGTATCAGGTGCACCTATCGGTATCGATGGACGCGTCGTTGACACCCCGGAAGTTGCTGTCGCCAAGGCCGAACATGCTGCTGCTCAGGCCAACGAAAGGCTGGGATTGGCTCAGGAAGCTGTCAAATCAGCTTCCGCTGATTTTCCTATAGTCGTATCTTCTTCACCAGTTGTATACGCGAAATTCCATTGAACCCGATGAACCCCCATAACAAAATGATTTCACGTCTGACTGCGATTTTCTTACTCCATTGTGTCTACCTTATTAAAATGTAAATAAATGACAATTATCCATCATTTCTCTGACTATTTTTTGTAATATATCTATATATATTCATCTTTTCCTTTAATATATATTTCAATATTAGTTTGAAAATAATATCTTTAAATTATTATATTTATATTTCAATATTGGGATCCATATTGATAAGAAATAATATTAATTACATTCTATATATGATTCGTTTCCACGATCTTTCATATTTCTATCTTTGATCTAATCTTTTTATAAATACTTTGAGAAATATTTAAATAATGTATCTTAAAAATTTATTTACAATAGTTATCACACATATTCGTTACGAATAACAATAGAATAATAGAAAGGAACCTTCTTCTAACATTTATTTGAGAGATCCGTGTATGTTCTCGATTGAAAATATTTCACATCGCGTAGGTGGGTATCTTAGATTCCAAAAAAAAAAACCTTAGTCTTTCCGATACCAATCGATTAAAATACTCGACATAAAATCATAATCTCATTGGAATATAAAAGAAAAAAGTAAAAGAACAATTGGTTATGTGACATAACTGATTGAAACGTTTTAGTCGGATTATTAAAATTTCTCGATGATCATTTCAAATAAGCCAATGAAAATCTTGCGTGACGTAGGTTCATAACGTAATCAAATATTTCCTATTCTTTTATTTCTTACATGATTGCTTTGCTCTATGTCACGGGCCATTTGAGATAGGGGCACGGTAGTAGTAGCAATAGCAGCAGCTGTGGCTTTCAACAGTGTCAAGAACTATTTGTCGACAGGTTGTAGCAAACTTAACAATACCCAATGTAAGGGAAAGCAATTATCATTGATAGATCCTTTCGATCGAACCGACATACAGCGGTAACAACGCGATCCACGCTTGTCGTATTAATAAATTAATGACTGTTACAATAATATAACTGGACCAACCAACTGGACACACCAGGCGCGGTCGGTCACGATTTCAAAAGATCATTTTCGAAATTTCTATTCGACAAGATTGATACTTATAGTTTTCTTTCAATTTCTAACCGCGAAACTGAACAAACAAATAATTAATTGTTATGTCACTTATTATAATTATGATCGATTGGAATACAAATTGGATGTGATAACTTTTGAAAATGAAAAAGATTCATTGAAATTATTGGAATATATTGGTAACGAATAAATCATAATTATCATCACGTGTTTTCCAGTTCGAGCATTAATTTCTGTCATTAATCAAAGTAAGACAAAGGGTTTCCTGGTATGATGATAAGATAAAGTATGGATTTCCGATGAAAGAGCAGGAACTCCATTTAAATGTCAAGGGCAGAGTTAGGAAAGGTGGTGCATCGATGAACACTCAAGTACTCTCCCTTTTTTCTATCTCACGGTTGAGTCGAAGTTCCCTGCAAGGAGCGGTGGGCTTAGCCCGATCACCTTTGGCTCCCTCCAAGTAGATTACTTTTGTCCGAGAGGGGGCGGTTGATCTCGAGCTATAAATGATACCGTCCGACCGTTCTCCAGGAACACAAAACGGTCAACCGAGGAACGGAGGAGTTGTATGTGGTAGGAGGAGCAGCAGCAGCACCTCCAGCAACAGCACCACCACCACCACCACCACCACAACCACCAGTTGTAGTAGAGTAATAAGCGAGTACTGGTCATACCAGCAGCGCTTTGGAGAAAAAGAAGAAAGAAGGAAAAGGGAAAAAGGAAGGACTTCACACTCCCCCACCACAACTACTATCACAGGTCGTCATGCAAGTCTCGGTGAGTATCCTCGATGCCTTGAGATTTGACCTATCCGTTTGTGCCAACTCATGGCCGTCGTCTACCCAGGAACAAAGGAAAGTGAAAGGTTAAATCGATATATAGATTCGGGTCACTACGCTCATGAGAAAGCCATTCGATGCTACCACATCAAAATCCAACTATCAAGTTACTCGCTTGATACTCATTACAGATACTCGTCGTACTAGCTTTGATCGCTAGCAGCTGCAAGGCCGGTTACATAGGACCACCGTCGTCGTCTTATGCCGAACCCCAATTGGAAGCACAACGAGCACCACCAAGATTTGCACCACCAGCACCGGTTGGTCAAGATGGGAACGTTATCGATACCCCCGAGGTAGCTCAAGCTAAGGCTGCACACTTTGCCGAATTTGCTAAAGCAGCAGCCAGAGCTGTTGAAGAGAGCAAGAATCAAAAAGCAAACTTTAACGATTCTCCTAATCTTAGATCACCACCATCCTTATCGCAATCCTACAACAGTTATCCTTCTAATGTTCAACAACCGTCTGCTCCTTTATACAGACAACAAACTTATCAACCGACTTATCAACAACCCCAACCAGCTTACCAACAACCTATTTCTTATCAAAATAATCCGTTACCATCTCCTATACCATCTCAATACAATCCTGTACCTTCCGTTAATCCTGCTAATTATCAACAAACTACACAATACGAACAACCGCGACCTAATTTCGTTAACCAGAAGAATAACTTCGTTTCACCCGCGAAAGCAACTTTCATTCCTGCCCCTCTCGCCGAAGACGGCACCGTTTTGGACACGCCCGAGGTCGCTGCCCTCAAGGCGGCCAGACTTGCTGAACTCGCCGATGCCGAGGCCAGGGCCTACAAGTATAGTGCTACCGCTGCTAGGGAGTTTCCTGGATCTCAAGGTCAAGGTGAGTCGCGTTTTTACCAAACCCACGTTGAACTTATACCTTACCTATCCTAAATACTTCATTCGTTTATTATTTTTTTATTTTTTTTTTTAGGTAAATCAAATCTCAATAAATATCATATGACAATTTAAAATTCATTTTTAATTTGAATGTTCGCTTTCTTTAAGATCGATCGAACTTGGTTTCGTGCCTAAGATAATCTCTTATTGTTCTGATTTAATAACGAGAATGATTTTTAGAACAATTTAAACTAAATATGTAATAAATAATGACACGAACTTTCGGCTTGAAGTATCTACTTTTTAAATCAGATCAATTCTTATTAATAGTCCATACTAAAACTGATTATTCTGATCACTGAAAATTAAATTTTATAGACCCCCAATTCGAGGTATGATAATTTTGAAAATTCCATCAAGTGGCCTTCACAATATAAGATAGATAAAAAAATATCTAAAGATATAGATCGGTGTGATCAGATTCAATAATTAATTGATTTAAAGGTCAGACGGTTTGACAGTACCGTTAGACGCGAACACTGCAATTATATGAATACTTGCTCGCGTTTCTAAACAGTTACGTCATTAGAATCGAGTAGCCAACATTGTTTTTTTTTTTTTTTATTTTATGAGCATACTTGATCTTTGACACGCAGCAAGGAGAAAATCATAAATCTTGACTATGTCCAATCATCTAACAATTAACTTGACCAATAAACACAACGTACGAATTGTTAAATATTAAATATAAATTACTGTGATATTTATTTGGATAATATAAAAAATATTATAAAAATGTTTTACCATACTTAAAAGGCTAACATAATGTTATTTTGAAATTTCTATTCTTTATGTTGTGCAGCTTACCAAGATGCTCATGCTGCTGGTCCATCACCAATAAATTACAACTCACCTACGTCACAATTCGGTCCTTCGTATCCAAGTGAACCAGCTAGATCATTTGGACCACAGCACTCATCATTTCCTAAATCCTTCCAACCAGATCATGGATTTCAATCGTCACAAAATTATCAACAGCCGCAATACGTCTCAGGATCTTATTGATACTGACGTATAAAATCAAATGTGAAATTTGTACATAATACATATCGAAATAATTTAGATCATAAAACGTTATTTCATTCGTTACACTTATTCCAAATATCATTGTAAATTAATAATCAAAATTAATTTGTCCTAAATAACACGATACTAATTTTTTCAACGTGATAGAATAAAAAGACTGTTGGAAGATTTTTACAAGAAAAATCAAATCTTACTTTGTTTCCCCTTTTTTATTTTTATCTTTCATTCTTTATCTTTTTTTTTCTTATTCTTTTTTTTTTTGTTTTTCCTAAATACGATTTAAAAAAAAAAATCGATTAATTAAAATGAAGTTTTACGACGAGTAGGTGGTCATAGTACTCTGCTTTACAATTCGTACACGTCGTATGTGTCTGTATTTGTTATGTGTGTGTATGTGTGTAATATTTGCATAAGTATGTGTGACCGACGTAAGGTATTATATTAAAAAATCATACATTTTTATTCGTTTTAAGTTTTACACGTAAACCACAGGCCAACCTATATTCGATTCACACGTGGATCGTTGCGAATTCAATACTACGAAGATAATAAAAAACGTTTTTGCGATCTAGTTAATAAGAACGTTATTCCAGGGACATTGGTGTGTCTCGTTTATTTTATTTTTTATTTCTTTTTTGTTTTTTTTTTTTCTATCGTCACGTCTACGAATTTCACAGTCGAAATGAATTTACAGAAATAGCCTTGAAATTTCGATCGTGATATTACGAAACAAGAAATTTATGTACTCTTATAAAATTTATAATAATAAAAATGATGAAAAAGATAATCATATATTAATTTATACACGAATCCACAAATATTAATAATTAAATTATTAACTTTCGTTCGTGACGAGTATACTCGTCATGATGAAGAGATTACAATTTTACCACAAAAAGAAATTATCTTGTACTAATTATGTTGAATTAAAATTGTAATATAAAAACGATGAAATATTTATAAATTGAAAAGAATTTAGAATGTTTGAGGATAGTCATGAAATTAAAAACAAAAAAAAAATAATAATATTTATTTGAAAAAAATTCCACATTACGATAGATGAAATTTATTTACAGGACAAGGGACAAGGAACGGGAACGGTGTTTTGTGTTTTGTATTTTGTATTTTGTATTTTGTATCTTTTCCTGTCCTGTCCTGTGGCAATTTTTATTGGAATATGGGTGTGTCTGTCTTTCTGTCTATCTGGGATGTGGGCGTTCTTCAATTGGAATTAGACTTTGTACAGCTACAGGACTATGGACATGGAATTAGGGTAAAGGGATGTTTTTCTTTCGAATTTCACAAATAAAAACCATACGCACGCATTACGAACATTTTTGTTTGCCCTTTCAACTAAATTCCTATATGAATAATTATTCTATCAAATAATAATAATAATAATAATAATAATAATATATATATAATAAGGTATTATAATTAAATATATGAATTATAATTCCTATAAAAAAAAATATAGAAATTATAATTAATTAAATTTTAATTAATTGTTATTTTATAGTATCGCGTATACTACACGTTCGACAAATATTACTTATGATCTCTAAAAATGTTTGCAAGAAATTTTTCACAAAATAATCGAACAACACACGGTTAACTGGTTAAGAAATTAAATACTAGATATCATAACTGTCCTAAACAATTATTTTGAACATGCATTCGACGTATTCGAAATATTCGTACGGCCGATTGAACCAAATAGCAGTTAACTCAGGTCGAATTGACGAGTGGTCCAACGTCTTGATCTATTTGAGATATAAACTGGTACGAAACTTTTGCGCAATAACTATCTCTATTTATCTCTATCAATATATATCTCTTTTTGTTAACTAGGCAAGGTGTCAACTTCCTTCTATCGCATTACCTAAGTATTGCTAAGTGTAAAGTATCCGGAAAGTTCGTGCCAATTTATTATAAACATATATATTATATTATATTGTATATTAAAATATTTTTTTAAACGTTTACTTTAAATATTTCTACAAAATTTTGCACGAGAGAATGTTTCGTACGATTTTAATGTAATATTATCTAACCCGTGATTTATGGGGGCCCTCATACGACCCGACCATGTAATAAATTCTACCAAACGAAAAAATGACTATATTGAATATTTATCGTAGATTATTTTCAAACTTTTATTGTTTTTGATATGCTTAACAATTATCATTATAGAATTAATAATAATTTTTGTTTCCTTAAATGTGTGACCAAAGGAAGCCACGAAAAGTTGGACACCCCCCCCCTACTCTCTTCTCCCTCAAATTTAATATAACTTAAAACGTAAATTTGTAAGTTACAGAGGGGCCGGGGGGTGGTTGTTTTTTCCCGCAATTCGTATTTCCCAGGCTCTCATAGTTAAACGAGTGACAATTTATATGGGATCGGTAAATTGCGGTAGAAAGAGGACCACCTTGAAAGGACCAAAGGTGGATCTATGATCGAAACTAGTCGTCCGTGAATCGTACCGTCTTAGAAAACCACAAAGAAAAGTTTGGTTACAACGGTGCACGATTGCATAGGTGCTTTTGCGGTTGAACAACGAGCGATGAAGTTTGATCATTACGTGTGGGAAGAAGAAGAAGAAGAAGAGGAAAAGAAAAATATCTATCTTGACGGCCAAAAAATTATTTCATCTTTATCCCAAAAAAGAAAGGATAATTAAAGGGTTAATAATAATAATATATGATACTGTTATCGATTTTAGATAATTCAATTATTGGTCGATTAAATTAATCATCATTCTTTTACTAATTATATGTAAATTATATACATTGTTTTATTTTTATAGATCACGCGAGTGAAACAAAAAAGAATTTTTTTTAAATTACCAACAATATAGTAGTCAAAATAATTGTATTAATTAGAAAAGTAGTAACGTATTGTAAATAACGTTGCTTAGAAATTGTCTCGAGATATTTTCCCATAAGATTATTATCACCTAACGTGTTGGAATCTAATCTCTCGGATGTTTTTACAAGGATCATTGTTGCAAATATCTCCGACGGTTGCACCGCAAACGATGAAAATGATAATGTGAAAGGATTTTTTTTTTTTGTTATATATTTTTCAAGCTAAAATAGCAAAGGAAAAAAATAACTGAGACCGTTTTTGAAGGACGAAATTAATTCCAATGAGATAATACGAAAAAAAAGAAAAAGAAAATTTAGAAAAATAATGATGACTTCGTATCAATTCGTAAAGTTAAATCTTTCCCGATTTACATTTAATATACGAATTTTTTGTCTAAAATGTAGGATATATATTTCAAATGTGAAAAAAAAAAAGAAGAAAATTGTAGGATGAGCCTATTTGATCACGATCGATAAATAAAATAACTAATACTTAGTTATGATCTCTGATTAGAACCTTCCCTCTTCTTCTAAAGTGTTAACAGAAACCACGGGAATGTTCTTAGGGTGGTGCAAGATCCTATAAAAGCGTGATCGACTGAACGCCTTGGCGCACTCCCTTCTAAGACGTCCGTTTTGTTACCGGTGGTGTCTCAGCATCACAACGATGACATTACTTGTAAGTGATCCGAAAATAAAAAGTGATTTTGAAAAATATTATGCGAGAATTTATCGAAGATATATATATATACATATCATACATATGTATATATATATATATATATATATATCGAGAAGAAAGTTTTTCTACGAAAGTTTCTTTGATCCTAAAAAATAATTTTACTTTTCTCCTTTCTTTTTCTTTTTCTTTTTCTCTGTCTCTATCTCTATCTATATCTATATTTTCAATCATTATATTTTTACTTCGATTAATTATATTTTATATATATATTTTTAATTTCTATTTAATTATTTTCTTTTTCTTTTTTTTTTTCTTGGGCCAATCAAGTTCGGTAAAAACACCAAAGTGAAGTGTATTATCATTATCAAGGAAAAAAAAGAAAATCTTAAAAAATGATCGGGTGAATTTTGTTCCAGATAGTACTAACCGTGTTGCTCGTAATGGCGAGCACCGAGGCTAAGTACATGTGGGCACCCTTCTACGAATATCGTGGACCCCCAGCACCCATATCGAAAGATGGTAGGGTACTCGAAACCGCGGAAGTTGTACGAGCACGTAACGCACATATGGCGGCACACGCGGAAGCTTTGTCAAGGATTAGAGAAATCAAACGTAACGATTATTCCGACAGGATGATGATGAGACCCACGATGGTACCACCGATTATTGCACCGATAAACATTAAAACAAGAACTCGAACGATTGCTCCGCTTTCGCCAGATGGTCGTGTTGTTGACACCCCTGAGGTAAAAATTTCAATTCAATTTTTCAAAATATATTCATATTGCAACTAGTATTATATATTGTTTCGAAGGATTTTTCAATATGACACGCGATATCACGGTCCAAATTTTTAATAATAACTTAAAGTTATTATTTTAAAAAAAATTATCATATAATATATATAAATTCTATATTCTCTTGTATATACTAATTTTCAAATTACAGCACATAGCATACAACGTTACTTTAAAAAAAAAAAAATATAAAATTTTAATAATAAGAATCATATTACGATAACTTTCAACAAAAGATTTATATTTTAACACTAGATTTACGAACCGAGCAAATTTCATTCTTTAAACTTAAATATTATTTTTTTACAAACATGTTAGTTTTTTAGTTACGCAATGAAATATACGTAAATAATAATTCCTCCCCTCTACCGAAGCCTTCACTCAAACAATGGTTTTTAAGTCATGAAAAAATAACAAAACGAAACATCCGTAAATCTAGTGTTAATAATTTAATCATTAATCGATACGAAAATTGATTACTAACGAATAATAATTAAATCTGTTTGCAATATTAGGTGGCTCAAGCAAAAGCTGCACATTTAGCGGCGCATGCGCGAACAACCTCAAAACTGGCCGCAGCTGCGGCTTCCGCAGTAACGGCCCAATACCAATTAACCGATTACGATGATCATAGAAATCTAATTTACCTGTCACCTGTTCGAGTTAATTATGCAACGATATCTCCAGTAGGATATCGAGGACCACTTGCACCAATTGGACCTGATGGACGTGTCATGGATACACCGGAAGTTGCGAGAGCTCGTGCTGCTCACATGAAAGCACGCGCGCGCGCGCTTGCTATGGTTTCTCATCGTGAGGAGAGTAATTATTATTAAAAAAAAAAAAAACAAAATATGATTTACAATAACATCCTTCGTGTATAATATGGTAGTTAGATTTTACAAATTTATTCTATGTTTCTTTTTCTTCTTCTTTTTTTTTTTTTTTTTAAATCATCTCTAATTGTAAGATAAAGAATATTCTTACTTATATCTCTCTTTTTTTCGTTCTTTTTCTTTTGTTTTTTATTTTTCTTAAGATATTAATTAGAAAGAAAGAAGAGAATGATGATGGTTAATTCGATATAGACGATTATGTACCTGATTTTTCCGTCGTCTTTTCTCTCTTTTTCACTCTCTCCCTCTCTCTGTCTTTCTCTCTCTCTCTCTCTCTATCTCTTTTTGTCTGTAATAGTTTGACAAAAACTCGAACGATCGTAATCAAAACTTTTGCAAACAATTGTATATAGTACTTATTGTAGATTTTGATTAATAAAATAAACTTATATTTTGAATCATTTTCAATCATTGATTTTGACGATTATTGTTTTATGAAACATGCGTATATATATTTATAGCGGCTGTATATACATGTATACATATATAATAAAATAGTCAAAGGCTTTGAAAAGTATTAACGTTGAGAAAAAGTAATAAATGATAAAAAAAAAATTTTCACAATACTATAATAATATTTATCAATTATTTAATTTTACGATAATACTTTAATTCGTGTATAAAAATATTAAAAAAGAAAAAGAAAACCATATATCACCTTAACAAAAGAGTTGCAAAATAATTAAGAAACTTAAATTTGATCTTCGTCGTATACTTTCTTTTTTTAAATTAATATCATAATCTTATTAAAAAGAATTAAATAGTAAGAGTTAACGGTAAATCATATAAAATCTTATACATAATATATTCATGAAATAAAATTCAAATACAAAGTAACGAAAGAATGCAAAAACGATGGTGGTACTCGTTATCAAACGATAAATCAAAAAGTAACACGACGTTAATGACACTACCGTATTGTTGATTCGATCGAAATCTTGTCGGTAGCGTGTTAATCGAATAGCACGTGCTAGATCAATAGATCTATATAGGATCTATATACGATCTATGCGAGACGTCCTTCGTGCAAGGAACTTACTTTTCCTCGGCGTCAATGAACGTAAAATGAATCTCTCTCTCTCTCTCTCTCTCTCGAATAAGATCACTACGAAGTAATTCAAAGCAATTGAAAAACTAGTTCAGAAGAACAGGATTATTAAGATGATCACCTTGAAAATGATTTCCTTCTGATGATGAGAACTCGTTCGATTTACAGTTATTATCATTGAATTATTCATAACTAGATTATATATTTTGTACCATTTACGCATATATATGTATATAATATAATATATTTAATAGCACCATACACATACAAAATTGACAATTGATCGCTCGAAATGTAGTATGATAATATAACATTAATGATACAATAAAAAAGAAAGAAATAAGGGATAGAGAGAGAGAGGGAAAGAGAGACAGACAGACAGATAGAAAAAAAAATCAGAGATCTATGAATAGAAGAAATACTGCTCGTTCGTCCGGATAAATGATAAGAGGTAGTTAAAAATTGTTGAAATCAGTCGGAACGAAGAGCACATATAATTTTTTCATCATCTTATTCTTCTTCTTCTTCTTCTTCTTCTTCTTCTTCTTCTTCTTTTTAGTCTTGGACGAGGTAGATACGAAAATCAAATATTATCGAGGTAGATTTTAAAAGATACCAGTGGGTGTGCATCTCTTAAATTGATTGGAATCGAACGAACGTAATCCATAAAAGGAAAAATTAAAGAAATAAATCCTTTTAGTAATAATTGTTTCCAGGATTCCAGGATCCTTGATTCCAAGCGCCATTATTATTCCATGATGGATCGTAAGCACCAGATGCAACTGGATCAGCTGGCCCAGCTGGTACACGTTGAGCTTCCGCATTGTAAAGAGAGAAATGAACCGACTTGGCTTGTTGAACCTCGGGTGTGTCAACTACGCGACCATCAGGTCCCAGTGGTGCTGGTGGACCACTGTTAAAAGAACAATTAAATGAACGAATATTCTTATATTCTTCATAACCAATAACACAAAATATCTCGTCAATTTATTTTATATTATTAATTAATAAACCTGTAGTGAGGTGCATAACCAGCAGGTGCCCCAGGTGCGTATGGCCCAGGTACGGGTCCACCAGGTCCTTTCGGTGCACGTGCATTGGCTTCGGCTAAAGCTGACAAATGAGCAGCCTTTAATTGGGCTACTTCAGCAGTGTCTACCACACGACCATCAGGACCAAGAGGTGCTGGTGCAGCATGCCCACCATAACCGGCATGTGGACCATACCATTGTGGAGCACAAAGGGCCACGCTTATCATTCCACAAAAGATTACCTAATAATATGATATAATTGTTAAGGAAAATGTAATTCTTTTTTTTTATATATAGATAATATATAGAATTTAATTGTCTACTTACAAGATATTGGATCATTGTTCCTCAAACGTTCAAGCTTTAGCACAAAACTCTAAAAAGCAAGGATCTCTATAACGTCTGTTTCAAACGAAGTCGAGAACTGCATTACAAGTTTCACTTACGTAGATCGTCGAATTTATAGGAGTAGAGACTGCATTGGCACTCGATCATGCCCCACCTTTGTACTACACTCACCATCAAGACAGAGTATAACCACACCCAAGAAAATGCTCTCTTTAAGGCTGCAACGTGTGTCTTGTAACATTTACCAAGCGTTAACAATGACATCGGTTTGAGTAACCTCGCCACGCATTCAACATACTCGCCATTTCCGTGAGCGAGTTATGCGAACGACATTAACACCCAACCAACTGTCATGGATCATGTTAAGACGATCTATGCATCTATGATATATCGATCTTTCTCTCAGGATGATAGAAAATGAATGATCAATCTCATATATATCTTATCGCGATAAAAATATTCTTTATGAAATAATAGTGGATAAAAATATTATCGTGATTGCATAATTTGATTTATAGGTACTTCAATTCGCAACCCACGCGATGATGTCATAAATAATTGTCACTTTTATCGTAACGCGTGACAATCATTCGTCAACCTGTGGTTCACCACCAATACCAACGCGCAATCATTTACAACAGACAAAAGGTTCCTGCGAATCTCTGATAATCCAAGATCCGCCTAGTGTATCCGATCATGCGAAAACGTTTGACATAATCTCTCTTTCTCTCTCTCTCTCTCTCTCTCTCTTTATTTTTTTTCTAATGCAAGACAATCGGATTGCCCTCGTAATAAAAACAATTCCCTCGAGGAATTACACCTTACGACCCGGACCACAACTTTTGTAACGCGCATGAACGATAATTATATAAAAATTTTTGTATTATTATAATTATTTTTATAATATCATTTGAAATACTTTTCTTTTGTTGTTTTTCTTTTTTCTATGCGATTAAAAATTAGATCTATCATTAGCAAAAAAGAGTCGGCATAGAACCGCAACAGCAATAAAAATGAATAAGTGCTCTTACTTGCACATTAAATGCTGAATCAAAATCCATAATTGCTTACTTTATTAATTAATTATTTAATTAGTTATTAAATATAGTTATATTTTAAGAAAATTTAAAATAATTATATTTAATTTTTAGTGTCTAAAAAATATACGTGTGTGCCTTCAGAAATGCGTTTTTTATACATATATATTTTAAAAAGTAGAAGAAAATCAAAACGAGTAGATGATAAATCCAACGATGAACACCTGTAACAAGAAGAAAACTATATTAATCATACAATTAAGTGATAGAATAGCCTAACATATGAATCGTCCAATTCGCAGATGCACTTTTCAACTGAATTCTCTATTTACTTTAATCAAATCTCTATATTTGAATGAAATTTAAACGAGTGATTTTACATTTATAAAAAATAAATAAAAATAAAGAAACCGGAAAAGTAAAAATACTAAGTTACTAAAAAATAAAATATCTATTGATTACTGTGAAATACTTTTAAACTGCATTATATAAAAAAGAAAAATTGCAAATTTAATAAAATACGAACACAGTGAAAAATTTAAAACACAAAATAAGAAAAGAGAAATTACTGTAATATATACCGAATGTTATTTATGCTTAAAAATATAATAATATAAAAATTTTAATATTTCTGACTCTAACTAAACACATATGCATCTCTTTGACGATTTTGATGGACACAAATTTGGTGTCCCAAGGAGATGGAATGATCCATCATCTCCAATTACAACTACAAATTAATGACGAGCAAGAAATTAATATAATAAGATATAAAATATAACTAGAGAGCTATTCTCGAAAAGTTCGAACTTGCTGTTTGAACCCTTGAAAATAACTCTATAGTTTGTGTAGTTGCCCACTTGATACCACATTTAAGTGGGGGCCTCTT